AGATGAAAAAAAAATTAGAATTACCTATAAAGTTTCATTTGCCGAGTGGTTCGAAATATAAGATTTAATTTTATAATAGTTTAAACCGTGGATTCCTTTTGGAACGCGAATTCTGAAATCGAATTTTTGAAAAACCGATCAATTATCTGCCGTGAACACGTTATACCTGTTAAACTTGGTGTCCAATTATGTTGCGAAGGGAATTTTTATAAAACTATAACAAATATTTATACAATATATTTCTGTGGCCGTTTGAAATCAGAAATAATCAAATAATATTAGCCGCTAAATAAGTTAGAGCTACTAGCTAGAATAGGCTATAATATTAGGCTATATAATAGGCTATATAATAGGCTATATATTAGGCTATATAATAGGCTTTTATAGAAATATTAGATAATTTATAATGGTATTCATATACTAGCGCCGGTGAACTCCTTCGTGTAGCTTACATAACGTACATCCATGTCTGTCATTTAAATTATTACATTAGTAGAAAATGTGAGCCATCATTCTCCATCTAGGGGAATATACTACGTTTAATTACGGTTGTCTTATATAATCGTTTTTATCAAACTATTGTTGGAGTTGTATTGCTATTTCACACCCGTAAAATATAAGTAGTTTATTCAACGGTTAATGGACCAAGAATGGCATTATCTCTTCACTTAAGTGAACTACTTTGTAATAAAGTTTTTGGCCAGATGATTGTTTTATATAATAGTCTAAAACTATGCCGAAAATTAAAAATTAATATAAATCATTTTCGTAATTTGAAGTCTTTCAAAAGTTATGTTGAGAATCTTAATTTATTTAGTATTATTAGTTTATATTAGTTACTTTAAATACTACTTATTTACTTATGCTATAGTTTTCATTCTTTATTTTAACCTTTTTTCTAGTTTTAATATTGTATGCTATATTTTTAATATTCTAATATCAATTATCACAACGTGTTATTTTATGTAAGTAGTTATAATTGTAATTGGTAAGAACTGCTCCTCAGTACAAACTTGATTTATAGGGGGTGCTGCAATTTAATTATTATGTAGTGTCTTTTAAATGTATCACCTGTTGCTTTTTTTAATATGAGTGCAAAGTAAGGGTTGCTCACTTTGCATATTATTTGATCTACTAGAATAAATATGCAAATGCATACAAATCCACCCTCTAATTATAAGGTATTTAAAAAATTAGTTTTAACCAAAATATGCCGTTGAGTTTATAATTTTTTAAACAATGGAATATCTGGTCCAAATATGAGGCTCACTTTACAAAGTGACAAAAACCTGTCAATTAATTTGTTGGGAAAAGTTCAATTAATTTAAAAAATGGCGAGGAAATAATAAATAAATTAAAAGTAGGTTGTAAATGATTAAGTAGAAAAAGGAATAAAACTTATGGAAGAATTTAATCAAAAAATAATATAAGATGAAGAACAGAGGCAATTTCTATTACATGTAAATGCATCCAAATTAATTAATTTATCAAATTACATAACTTGTGGTTATTTATTTGATTGTTTGATATCGTCAAAGATATCAATATTAAAAATACATACAAATTTAAATTATAATTAAAAATTAAAATAGCATTTAATTTTTTTTAACATTTTTTTGTCTGTTATAAAATAAATAAAATAAAAATGCGATTTGTACTTTTTTTTTATTTTACAAATTTGAAAATTGATTTGTATTAATTCTATAAAGGTTAATATTTTGAAAAAAATATTAGAAGTAAATATTTCAAGGAAACACACAGTACCACAATAATAGTTATGTACAATGTATTGGTATCTTTATAATTTCAAAAGATAATTGCAGGAAAACAAAATCAAAAATTCTTCAAAAAATATAAGCAATGAGCATATTCTGTTATTTTATTGATTTCAAAAGAAAGAGTTATCATAACGAAAAAAAATACTTACTCTGATACTTATTTGTAGTTGGTTACTAGTTCTATGATAATGATTTTTTACGATTTTTTAAATTTAAAAATTGTCTAAGTATAAGCCAAAAATTACAATTTTACTCTTTTTCATAGAACTTTGATCTTAAGTGGACAACTGGTAAATATGTTTAATTATAAATCCCCTCCCCTCGGAATAATGGGGGAAGGAATTATTTATCAGCACATCAATGAAAAAATAACCAATTACAAATTAATCTCAATTTACATTTTCCTCTATGTATTTTCATATAAGGACATGGCCCATTTTTTTTTTTTTGTTGAAGACTGGGTTCTAAATTAAAATTGTACCTACCTTAAAGACGTTAGGTATTTTAGATTTTCTCAGAAGAATAAATTAATATATTTATTTGTTTTTTTCTCCAATAAAAATTATTAAAAATGCAAAAAAATGTTAAATTAAAAAATAATACAAATAAATAAAATAATATAGCTGATACACACTTTTTAATTCCATACTTTTTCATCCACTAAGTACAATTTATAATGAATTTCCTGTCAAATTTTCAATTTCTGTTCAGTCCAACAATTTTATCTATAGAGTATCTACCAAATAAAAATTACATAAAAACCTCACATATTAATATGTCTATAAACAGCTCTAAAAAAGTTCAAATATTTTGAAAATGTTATTACTTCAAGAAAAAGCAAATATGATTTTCTGTTAAAATTTCAAGTCTATACGAATATTTTTAACTGAAAAACATTAGAAATCAAAATTTAAAATAATAAAAGACGTCCTAGAATAACGGGGACGGGTGCAGCCACTGTTATAGGTAATTTAATGTATATCTGTAAGTAACGATAAACCATGCTTACGAAAAAATTTTATTGTGATATGTATTATTTTCTGATTTCTTTAATATTATGTATGAGTGTATGACTATTGTCTATTAACAAGCGGATAATACCCATTATTTATTTTATATTTACTAATAATTAACCAATATTGTAATATTATTATATAACATTTGTTATTTAGTATAACTCCCAATGAATGTATTATAACTTATAACTTTATAGGGATAAAATTATGTTTGAAAACTGACATAAAAATTTAGATGAAAATGTTTATAGTATACATTTTGTACCTATTACTACTTGTTTTGTTATAATTTTGTAATTCTATATTTTTAATGAATTAAATATTTATGATAACAATTATTTGTGTTCTTAAATGTACCTTTGGAAAAAATCTCAAAATACTTGTATCTGTATCTAGATACTAATTTAAAGTATCTTATTACATCACTAATCCTAGGACAGCTTTTTTAATTTTTAATCTAACACAATCCTTATTGAATTAATAATTTTAAATTATGTGTTCTGTGTACATATTTTAATTAGGCTTTTGCCCATTATCCGGCTTCGCTTGAACAGTTTTGTAACGTAAAATATTTAATACTATTTTTTAAAGCTATTACTGCTTTCTATCTAAATTAATTGTTTTTATTTAATACTGACACGGATTCATGATCAAAACTAAATAAAAATGGGGGTAAAACAAATAACAAAAAATTGGCACAGGTAACTCCGGATGGGACAGTTAGCAAATAAATAAATTATACACACAAATACTTACATACTTAAGGTTTCGACTAAATGTACCAAACAGAATTGGCTATTTTAATCTTCTAATATTAATATTAATGATTTTATTAATTTAAATTCTGAGTGTAACTAGGAATATATTGGTTTTATTATGAAGTGTGGTTTTTTCACTATTATTATAATTTTTTTTTTTATGTTACTTCAGGTTGGCAAGTGATGCTACGGATTTAACATCTGCCCGAATTTGGGGCGCCAAACTCCTCCTGATGGAAATCCCAGATGGGTGCTTTCAATAAATACATGATATTGTTTCTGTTGGGTGGAGGAATTTACCTTATAATTTACAACGCAATTATTCCTATGGGAAGGGATCAGAATACTCCCATGGTATCTCTGTCATCTTTCATGGTATCTGTCATGTGAGGTGTAAAATGTGGTTGCACTAAGTTGACAGCTGATGTAAAATTGTGTCAAACAGTATAATGAAGAGTTTTGAATAAAACTTGAATCTTAAATGTGTACAGGGACAACAAGTGAGGGAAGGTACCATGGTGTTTGTAGATGATATAGCTTTGATAAGAGAAAATCTAAAATAATAGACTTGAAAAATGGGAAGTAGAGCTTAAAGAATAGGGACTAAGGATAAGTAGAAATAAAACAGAGTATGTGGTGAGATAAACAGTTCAAGACAGCTATAGAAAATAAGCAGTTATAGGTAAGGTTGAGTTTTAAGTACTTAGAATCTTTTGTACAAAAATACAATGGCTTTCATGAGGATATAAAAAATAGAATTAAGTGCATTTCTGGAAAATGGAGGGAAAAATTGGGTATTTTATATTACACGAGAATTCCAATGAGACATAAAGGAAAATTGTACAAGAATGTGGTGAGACTTAAATATTGTGTGGTTCTGAATGTTGAACTGTAGACAGAAAAATAGAATAGAAAATGAGTATAGCAGAGATTTCTCATCTTTGTTTAAGTTAATGAGTGGAATGACGAAAATGGGACAAAAGATAAATATTCAAGAGGTGCCTTAGGCATAGCTTTGAAAGTAGACAAAATAAATTTTTACAATTTTTGTTTTCTACTAGAGGTCTTGCTCTGAATTTCAAGACTAGCATATTGTCTGAAAGAAAATTTTAGCTAGTAAGTATCAAGAAAGTTGTAAGAAATCATTAATGGCTTCATTATTTTCAATTTAGTTTTTTTATTTTAAATCTGTAAAAATAATCGTGAAGAGCTAAAATGTTTACAAATTTCTGTTTTCCACAGTAAAACTCATTATTTATAAATTTTCACTTAATCTTTATACTGCAGTTCTAGTGCACACAATAATAATTATTCTCAAATGGAACTTGATATAACCAAAATATAAATACAATTTAACTATAAGGTTTAAAAACCTTATTTTAAACCATTTCTTTATAAAACGAGAATCTACTTTAATTGCACAAATGTATTATTCTAAAATTAATCAATATATAACTTAATTTGATGAAAATAAAATAATTATTTGTTATAATATTATTATTAAAGTGTATTTATTTTAATTATTAACTTGAACACATAAGTGTAGAGATACTCTGTCTAATTTAGGTTCACAAATTGATCAATTATACAATTTACATTAAACTAACAATGACATGTAAATTATATAAAACTATAATAGACTATAATTGTAATTTGTTAGTAAATTAATGATCTAAAATACTTAACATTCTTATTATGTTTGATTAAGATCCATTAGTCAATCAGCATTATATTATGATTTATATATAACTGTAATTTATAATATATAAAAAATAAAATATATAATAATATATAATAAAAACGTGGAATATAGATACCTATACTATTAGATGATCTGTTAAAAATAATAAATTAATCACCTAAGTGTACAAAAACAATATCATAGGTACATTATTATTTTTAATTGCATACCTACCTAATTAAATGGAGTAAAATCTAACAAAAATAAAGTTGGAATAGTTTAGAGTATGGAGGGAAACATAAAATAATGTTTCTAAAATTAAGTATTGTAATTTATCATTGTACCTACATAAACTAAAATTAAAATATGTTTTCTTAATAAATTATTATAATTTATGATTAAAAATAAAAATGATATGTTACATTCTAAAATAATAAATGTATTATTGTTGAATAATATTAGCTATGCATATGTATATTATATAATAAATAATGATAGAAATCCAATATCAAATATGTAAACATAAATTTTGTTAATAAGAGTAATGAATACATATATTATGTATAATAAGAGATGAATGAGTCTTTTTGGTGCAAAGATTTATTAGGTATAAATGTATAATATGTACTCTATAACATTAAATTTATAACAGTATTAAGTATGAATATTTAAACACAAATAGGTACATTATTTTTTTGTAAAAAAAAAAAAAAAATGAGTGACAATACAAGTGACAAGGCAGAATATATTTGGGCTTTAAATAATAAATTTTAACTTAATTCGAAAAATTCTGAAGTCTTAGATTAGATGTAGGCACTTATTACAAAAGTAAGTTTAATTTCATTTGAGTATTTACAATAATTTTTTGAATCATAGTAAAAGTGTGTATTGTGAAAATGTCCTAATAATAATAAATTTATATATTTACTATATTATAATATAATGCATTACAATGATCAACATAAATATGTAATAATTAAATCTAAAACTAATTTGATTGGATTTCATTAATATCAGTATAATAATTTATAATATTGGGTTAATAATAAAATGGCGGTACACTCTTATTAAAATTAAGTTAAAAATATGTTCTAGGATAGAACGAAATTTAAAATGTATAGTTACATTTTAAAAACAAAATAAACTGTTATTGTTTCTACATCGATGTTGTATGCCACTCATCATCAGGGACTTTTCCACTTTCCACTGCTGATTCATTGGACATTAACTCCAAGTCATTTTCTGCCAATTTTGCTACTATTCCAGCCCCATAAGCATCTCCAAGTACATTAACAGTTGTTCGGAACCGGTCCCTAAAAAAGAAAAATGTAAGGTGATATATGAATAATTAAGAGTGTTAATATACACATTGTACACAATACTTTTAAAAAACTTAAACAAAATTATTATTACAAATTGTTCTTAAAATTGTGTGCATTATCACATAATTCTTTAAATATTGGGAGTAGCATATAAAATATATATATTATACATATAAAAATTTAAATATATATTTTAATGTGGGATTTAAACAAAAAATCTCGAATCCTTTTTATAAAATATTACCTAATGCACAAATTATTAATTTTAGTAGTATTCACCAAAAACACATACAAGGTTGCAAAAATATACCAAAGATAACTATGCATTTTAATTTTCTGAAATAAGTATTATTATAATAACACTCTAGCTGTGATTTTCTGCCATGCTATATTAATCATTAGGACATTAGGACAGTAATTATTCTATTTATTGTAAAATAGGTAACTTACAGTAACCAATCTACAGCAATAATCAATGACACGTCGTCAGCCGGTAGCCCAAGTGTGTCCAACACCATAACCATTGTAACTAAACCTGCTTGGGGTATTCCAGCGGCTCCTATTGAAGCCATAGTAGCAGTCACACTAAAACAGAAAAAGTTAAAATGAAACTATACACCTACATATATCAATGGTAATATTATGCTGTTATAATAATAGATTTTAAATTTCTATGTTCTAGTTTTTAGTATTAAGTTGTAGGTATTATTTTAGACACTTAATTTAAAATATATATGTATATATTTTGGTACACTGACAGTATTTCACCCGATACTGATAGATTCCCTATCCCTACCTTTAATAAACCGATAAAACGGTTAAGTTACCACGAGTGTATTACGTTCGAATTTAATTATTATTACTTTTAGTATTTGAATATTATAGTTTGTAAATAAATGAGCAATATTGATTTTCCAAACCTATGAATGGATACACACCTTACAGCAGCGATTTGTCCAAAACTTAATTCTATTCCTTTCAGTTGTGCTATGAAAATAGCGGCCACAGCTTCATACAGAGCTGTTCCATCCATATTAATTGTCGCTCCAATAGGCATTACAAATCGTGAAACTCTTACATCTATTTTATTGTTTTCTTCAAGACAGGCCATTGAAATTGGTAAAGATGCAGAACTAAAAATACATATTATCATCCAAATTGATCGTTAAACAACTTTAATTAAGTAGTGGGTGTATACTATAAAATGTGATATATTTAGAAGGTATCTTGTGTTAGAAACTGAGATTGTGTTATTATAGTATATTTACCTGGAAGCTGTTCCAAATGCTGTTATTATAGCTTGACCCATGTTCAATGTAAATTTGAAGGGAAGTTGACGTGTGAATACACTGTACATAAGGGGTAGCAGAACAAATCCGTGTACAAATAATCCAAAAACTACTGTTATAAAGTACATTCCCAATCTACCAACAATTACACCGAAATCGTCCAATTCTAATACTTTAGATGCAACTAAAAATAATACACCCATTGGCGACAACCTGAAATTAAAATTAATGATTTTGAAGTTTATATTTAATTTATTTTACGCATTTTAAACTATCTTTATATTTACCATATCACCCAGTTAGTCATTAACATAACGGCTTCGCCTAAACTGTCGAAAAACGCCAATAGTGGTTTTCCAACGGGTCCCAATTTTCCAATGCATATACCAAAAGCCACCGAAAATGCGACTAACCCAAGGACGTTTGAGCCTTCAACCATCTCTGATTCTATTTTCCATAACGTTAGATCAGAATGTACTATAACCAAACAGTACTCAAATTATATTAAAGGGGTAAATAATTAATATAAAATAAACAGAGATCAAAATTAAAATTAGTTTTTTACCCGTCGAGTTTATGGCAGTGGTGTTTACATTTGGCTTGATAAGCACTGTTCTATACTATAAATTGTAAAATAAAATGAATGATAATAAATTGGTTATCATATAAATATTTTAAAATTTATACTTACGGTGGATATAGTTGCTTCAACCAGATTGGCTGGAAATATATTTCTATAAAATAGTTGATTGATATTATTATTTGTACAATATTTTATTAGTTTATTATGTCAGTACTTATACACATTAATGTGAATCAGAGAAAATATATAACTTTATTTCATAAACATAAATAGAAATTAGAAGGTAAATAAAGAGTATCACTTCCTAGTTCCTATTACCTATTGTTTTTAAGTATATGTACTTGTACCTATGTATATTGAATATGCATAATATGTATCTAATTTCATATCTTTACTTTGTGTTCAATGATAAGTAACAATTGTCTATATGCTTCACAATAAATAATTAAACATATAGACAGTTTAACTTTGTACATTTTTTAAATATATTTACCAGGTAAATGTACAACCAGAAATAAATCTACCTAATTATAAATTATGTATTGCATTTAGTATGGACTTGTGTATTTACATTTGTATACAAACCATGCAAATTTAAAATTTTCAAACCCAATTTAAAGTTGTAAAATTATTTAAACTTTATGGACGTCCCTTATGATTAGGTAGATATGTCATTATTGAATATTATTAACCAACCTTATTAAGTCTAATATTGTATCGACAGTCGTGATTGGTCTAGTTTCTTGATGTACGCTTGCCATTTTTTCATCGTCTCTCATAATTTTTCCCGGGTGTATTAACATCACCCAGAATATGCCCTGTAAAACCGCCATAGACGTGGTGGCTGCATAATAGGCAATCGATTGGAAGCCAATTTTCTTAGATAGAGACAAATCCAGCGATCCAATAGCTGATATGATTGATGATACCAATAACGGAACGATTAACATTTTCAACATGCGTAAGAAAATATCCCCAGGAAATTGAACATAAGTTATTTCGCGTTTTGTCCATCTAGAAATATTTTCAATTAAAAATTACATAATACTCGTACTATAATATAGGCTACACAAATAGGCAGTATTTGGTGAAATGTTGAAATTTTAAAATGATCGATTTCAGTTGTGAATAATTGATTTGATTAAGACGATTATCATTGCGTAAATTACCTCGTTGGCGATATATCATATTATACCTATACATCATATTAATAATGTATTAGGTATACTAAATAAAAATAAAACTAAGTATAGTTGGCCACTAAGTTTAAAATATTTAAATCATATATTACTTAATATAATATTATTGTTGGATAAAATGTTTTTAAAAATAATTACATAATAGTTGTCCTAAAGCGAAATACGGTACATTCTTAACGTTTAGAATGTGAGTATGTAACATATATATTCACTCAAATATAATAAATGAAATTTAATATTATAATAAAATCTGTCATTTTGTATGATATTTATCTAATCTGTGTTAAGTTTTGCATGGTATTTATCTAATCTGTATTAAGTTTATTATGTATTTTTCTATGAACTCTATAATTTCTTGAGAAATCATTTCAAAATCTAGTCGATTTAAAACCACTCAAACGATTATTTTTGTTATAAATTTATTTCTACTTTTATGAAATATCTGTATTATAAAATTATTATCTTAGTTTACATGCATTTTGTTTGTATATACAAAAATTCAAATAATTGATTGTGTCTACAGTGTGCTCGTTAAATAAACTAAAAATCTCAATCTAAAAAAATCCACAAGAGATATTTTAAAAGAATAGGTATGCTAGGTACAAACATAGGTATAATAGAACTTTCAAGTTACGCAAATGACACGTTTGTAAAGTTATTTTGATTATTATGTTATGATATATGTACTATTTAATAATCAGATTTATACAATAAATAATAATACATGTAGTTTATGTCTTTATGAGTTTTATAATAAAATCAATATTAATTATTTAAATAATGAGCCATATCTGAACATGTATTTCGTGTTTAATTTTCCAAATAAATGACCATGCAAAATTCACAAATAGTTTTGATTTGATGTATCTACCTATACAATGGATTTAAAATTATGTACTATATAATATTACAACATTACTCACTCTGTTTTAGATCCTTTTAAAATAAATCCTAAAAGTACACCACCGAATACAGAAGCTATTGTTAATATGGTTAGCAAATTATGAGAAAAACATGATTCTACATTTTTTTCTTTGCTTTGTCTCCTGGAAGTACTCATTGTATTACGTCCTTGATCAGTTTTCGAAGGCTTAAGAGGTGATCTATTGAAAACATAAAATAAATACATATATTATAATCAATAAAACGAAACATTATTAGTATTTTTTTCTATAAAAAATTATCATATTTTAGTTCATAAAATATATATAACCCTCTCTCTCTTTGATAGTTAACACAAATAAATATGTTCCAAACAACTATACGCATCTATCCGTCCGTGACCTTAATAACCTACATGATAGATGGAAACCGGTTGTGATTTAATGAATCTATATCTACATAAGTACTTATGCTATACTTTGATGGAACCCGTGTTTAAAAGTTTATTAGAACAAGAAAACTAAAAAAATAAATAGATAGGTACATTATATAATATGGGTTCAGATTTATTCAATATTGTTCAAATAATATCTATTTAGAATATAATATTATAATATATTGTTTATATTAGATATAGTGGTGTATAAATTTTAATTACACAAATATATTTATTATCGTAATACCATAGGTACTTTATAAGTATTGATGTATTCATGTGTGATCAAAACGAATATTGAATTAATTTTACGAAAAGTATAGACACATCGAAGTAAAATATAATCTGCATTAATATAATTATAACACAATAATTTAATCTCAATTGTAATTCGTAAAACTAATTAATCCAACGTTCGTTTTGATCACACATAGATACATCTATAACTTACAAAATATCTATGATATTACGAATTACGATAATAAATATATGTTTATATTTATAATTTATGCACCATTTTATCTATTAAAAACGAGAAATAATACGCATATAACACGATATAATATATCCTTATTTTTGTGAATATATTTACATATTTTTAGTTTTTATCGTAATATTTAATCTAATTTTGGTATATTATTATAATGGAAGAGCTACAAATTAATTTAAGTATCTATATTCACAATTAAAAATAAATGCAATCATACTAGGTGGGTACTGATTTAAAAATATCTGTTTACTATTTTGTGAATATTGAGTCGTTAAATACTTACTCAACAGGGGTGGTGTGTCAAGGGAAACTTTGAGACGGCGTCTCCCTAATAATTATAACATAGCAAAACAAAAATTTGTTTTTTTAGTAATATTTTCAACTATTTTTAATATATATGTATATTGTATTGTCTCCATCGTTGTGTGAACACCAATATAATTTCAATAAAATTTCGTCCAAAAAAGAGGCATCTATTTATAGAGATACCTTATAAATACTTATGATTTTTCAGGAACCCCTCCCAGAAAGATAAAAGGTAAATAAAAATTTAGTGTGTGTGTGTGGGGGGGGGGGGGGTGATAATGGTTAACAGTGATAATGTTTTTTATATGGATTCCGTATTTCCACGAGACTAGTCTCTGCCACCAAGCGGCACGTTATTCCGTATTCATTACGTACATTTGTGAAGTACGTCGTAAATTTGCCTCGTTTTTTATTAAAAATATGGAATTAAAATATTGTACATTAGATGAATTGACAATAATTTTCATTAATTTAAGTATGATGAAAGATATAAACTAAAAAACTAAGTTATTTGGATACGCAATTGAATAAATATTAATACTTCAAGTAAAAATATATAATATAAATAATAGTTACACAAAAGTTAAGTACCCCCTTAAATTTTATTCACATACAGCTACTGTTCCTCAATTAAATAAAAAAATTATTATGATAACCATATATTGGAATATGTTATAATAATTGCTTTTTTAATATTTTTTATACATCATTAGGCAAATAATAATCAAATATGAACCAATCGTGGATAAAATCACTATCGTACTCATTATAAATAAGAAGTATATTATCTTTTCATCATCTTTTTATCTACTATAAATCGAAACAGATTCTTGAAATCCATCATTAAGTAAAAGCGCAATTACAAATAAAGTAGTTAATTCTAAAATAGTATTACGAGTAGGCACTTATTTAATAACAAAAATTAAGTAAGGAAAATTATTATGTACTTGGAAAATGGTCAAATGAGCGCCTTTAAAATTTTTCACAAATAACTAAAATACATTTTCACAAGGAAATGTTTAGGTTTAGTAATTTGTTATTTATAAGATTACGGTAATTTTCATAGAAATGACTTGAAAAAAAACGACTTGAGCTGTATATAATTCAAGAAGTTTTACCTTTTAAATTCGTTCATAAAACAAAAAACAACTAAATAAATTGTTTTTTAAATTTTTAAATTGTAAACTTAAATACTTAACGATGGATATTTATCGTCTTTTAATCTTTAGATTCCACTAATATAGTTTTTTCATTTCACACTTGTTTAAACTTTAAAATATTGATATTTTACATACATCTATGAATAGATAATTTGATAAATCATATTTAAATACCTACCCATGAGTGAAATGCAATATATTAACTATACAGAATGATTATAATGTCGAGGAATTACAATATTGTTTAATACCTACAATAGCGATATTAGTCATTTCGTACCTACTGCAATATTATTAGAAAGTACAAAATAATTTAAGAAAATCTTTTAGATGTTGAAATTTTGAAAAATATAAATATTAATCATTGAATTAACATTATTTTGTAAGTATCTAACGGAATCGGGAGTAATATTATTTAATATAAGAAATGCGACTAGTGTGAGTGTAAAAATAAATGAAATGTAATAGGATAGAAAAATTAAATCAACCAATAACAGTTATCCTTAAATCTAAATGAATAGTTATTGCTCGAGTGAAATTTTTATTTCGTCTACTAAATTTACGTGACTAGTTTACTAACAGAATATTCAATTATAACACGTCACACACAGAAAAATGTATTTTCATTGTATTGGTACCTAATACATAATATAATAGGAGTTTAGAATTTATTCGTTATAAAATAGATTATTTTTATTTGTTTTATGAAAAATGAATAGTAAAAATAGAAATATATGCATGGGTAATCTTATTATAGTATTTTAAACGCATACTATCACGTTTATGATGCAAGTTGAAGAAAACCGACAATGAATTTGAATCCATTTTACATTATTCGAAAATCATTTAAACCTAATTTAAACGAATACACATTCTAAAAGAAAAATTAACTAGTATTCATTAATATTTTCATCCGAAAGACGAAAAATATGACTACCTAAATATTACATAATATGTTCGTTAAAATTTCAATGTAAAATATGATAAAATGTGAAATGTATAAAAAGTTACACTATATACCTATAATTTATATATTATTATTGAGAAAAATAGATACCTATCAGACCAAACAAACATAATCATGTTACCTATTTTAAATATATTTTAAAACATCCAATACATCTGATTATTTGTCTATTCGTTTAAATACATACGAGTTTCAACATGGTGCAAAGATTGATATTTCATATGAATTAGTAAGTAAATTCTATAGTATTTATTAGTATAGATACAATATACATATAATTAATATATAATTATGAACATTTTAATCTGTGGTATTAGTTTGCTATTATTTCAAATATTCTGGTACATATTAGTTGTTTGCCCTCCCATATTCACAAAATGTCAATATAGATTGAATTATACTAATCAAATTCGTTTGGTTTTAAAATGTTCATAACCATCTAAATGATGGTTGTACATCATGCTAATAATGCACGGTATTTGTATTTTCGTTGAATACAACACTCCTCCGCTAGTTAATTAATAAATTATCTACCTATACACTTATAATTTATAGATAGATGACGATATCGTTTTACTTTTTCCAGAAAAATCATTAGGGAAGTAGGTAGATATATAATGAAATGTCGAATGAATAAGAAATCTGTACCTATATATTTAGCCCGTGCAGTGATTTGTCAGTTTATTACATAAAAAGGGAGTTATAAACTTTTAATTTTACGAATAAAATACAATGTTGCAGTTATTGTTTATAGATATTCTTTAAAAAATTAAATAAATAATTGCATGCAAACGTATTATGTTTAAGTTAAAAAACACATCAATTGATTATAATTTATATACATTAGGTATATATGTATATAGTTCTGTATTTGAATATACAGCTCATGATAATATAATTATTGCATTTCAAATACTACAGTGTATTCTAGTTAAATATAATATTTTAGGGACAATGGTATTATAGTTGAAACATTCTGCATAGGTACCTATATGTATATAACTTTACAACATTTATATAATTGACTTCAGTTTATTATGTATATACAATATATATATATATATATATATCTACCAACTAATATCATAATGTTAATTCAATTAACTTTGTCGTGTACCGATGAAGGACAATATAATTTAAACAAATTCGAAACCATGTACTTTTTTTTTTTTACTATAATAATATTTCCTAATAAAGAACATTATAATATATTATATTATTTAAACGATGTCATATTATGTGTAAATGTACGAAGTTATCGCACCGGATGATACAACACGTACCACTTAAGAGGTATATATGGTGTAATATACGACTACGTAGGTAGTGAAAAAAATTCGATAAATAATGTTATTTTTTTTAAAAAATATTATTTTATATAATACGAGTGTGTGTGTAGTAGTTTTTTTTTTTTTTTAAAAAGAAATATCATACTTACATGTTTACTCACTACTGGACACACATATATTGAAAAAAAAAAAAGCGCGTTTACGATGCAGTGTCCGCGTAACGATACACTTATCGTTAGGTACCTATAGGCTATATAGGAGTATAATATCGACTACACAATACACGATGATATTTTCCGACGACACGACAAGATTACAAATAATGATATTACAAAAGTTTACCAATAATAATTACTAATTATACGAGTACAAAAATATTATAATATCGAAACCTACCCTGCAATAGGTACTGTAACCGCAACAACGATTGATATAAGTACGTGTGTTATAACAAGATGCCGTTGTTGTGTTTTTGTTTGTTTTTCTGTTCGTTTCTACTCCCGGCGCAAGTTGGATAATAAATAATATTGTTATTATTATTATTATTTAGGTACTGAAAACCCGATCCAGACAAGAGATCGTACAGCGTTCACACACACACACACACACATACACACACATACATACGCGCGCGCGAGCACACGGTCTACAGACACAATAAGAACTCGACGTAAACCCGAACTACACGTTACTAAAACGCCGGCGCTGTGAGCTAGACGTGTGTGCTTACGGTTTTGCGTCCAGCAGCGCGCGATGAATCGCGTCGGCTTGTCCCGCCCTCGGTCGCAACAGGTTTTGGCGCGGCCGGTGGTAGTGGTGATGAAGGAAGCTAGTACAATTATTGTTACTATCATCGTGCTGCGAATAAATGTCTACTTGATACATACAGATATATTATATTATCATATACATATATATATATATATACAGGATGTAGCAGGACTATTTGACATTTTTACATTGTAGTTGCATGTGAAAATGTCAAATAGTCCAGTTACACCCTGTACATAAGTGTATACATATATAAAAAAAAATAAATAAAATTTGTATAGGCATTATGCTTCGTATATAATATGGAACTACGGGAACGATGTCGCTCTTTCGGGTGTGTGCGTATGTGGGTTGGGAGGGAAGCGGGTGAAAGATTCAGATGTTCGGAATTGATTCCCTTTTCCGCGCTGCCGCTGTCGACCGTAAGTAGGTAGGTAGGCAGGTTAGGTAGGTATGGTTAGGTTAGAGAGAAAGACATTCCTCGTCCGGTTACCGAAAAAAAAAAAAAAAAAACTGAAAAAAAAATACCTATAAACGTGTTGAAATTCCATCTTTTTGGGGCCTACAGATTTTTTTTTTTATAGGTACAAGGTACATATTATTTCTTTGAGTTTCGTAACCGGTATCTCGTTACCTTGAAATCTTTATTATTTTAATATCGTGTGAGCTCCATATACTATGCATGCATAATATTATTCTAAATAAAAAACAAAACTTGTTTGTTGCAACGGTAATGTTTTAAAAAAAACATCGTTGTTTCTATAATCTATGACAGGCCGTGAATCGTGATATTATAAAATAGGCATATGATATATTTATTTTTTTCCACTAAAAAGTCAATAATATAATATGTGTTTTAATGATTTAATTAATCGCAATTTATTAATGCTTTTTTAGCTCAATGAAAATTCATCAACACGCATAAATCCAAACTATTATGCCCGTTACACAAATACATATACACTTATTATACGCATATTATTGTTACTTAACATCAATGTTTATACTTTTTTTTTCAAGTAAACTTATTATTTATGTTTGAATTTAAAAATTCGTACTAAATACATATAGATTATCCGATAATTACCGATTGTTTTTTCACTAGACTACCTTTAGTAATTGTATTTAAAAAATAATAGAACAAATAATATTTTCATTTTATGCTTAAGACCCTTTTTATTATAATAAAAATGGTTGATAGTTATAACCCCAACAGGCAAATAATTTATATTTAAATCATGCATATAAAAAATTGTACCATTTTTGCTTATTTGGAAGATCTGTAGGGATGTTCAAAGTTAAAACAACACTCTTCTCCCGCAACAATATTATGGTAAAATTCATATTGAAATTTAACCAAAATTTCATCACTTAGATCCGCCTATAAAAAAAAAACTATAATTCCTGAGTTTAAGCTCATTTGGTTAAGAGGGAGCCGTTAAATGGAACCAAAAGTACCAGTAAAAACATGTGTATGTATAATATATAATATATATATATATACATATACATTTACGATAAATTTATAGACAATACAGTGTAATAATATATATTTTTGGAGAAAATTTGACAAAAAAAAACAATGTTCATTAAAATTTTTTTTTTATTTACACGTATTCTTATAATTATATTATAACTACTCGTTAATTATAAAATCACAGTGTTGGATCCTACATCTTTGTATTTGAGTCGGATATTTAAATAATTTCATTGTCTTATAATACAGTATAAAACCCAATAACTAATGATTATAGGTAAATCATTTTTAACAATCACACATTATTACACTACATTAATTACGGGTATGGATAAATATTGCCCGAAATATATCAATGTGAAAACTCATGAACACTAAAAAAAGGTATACTTTCAATATCATTGAATTTTTAATCGTTAGTACCAATATTTATTTCTCGTTATTTTCCTATAATCATTTTGTTTTTTCTGTAAATAACGTTTTATTATACAGTTCTCCCCCTTTATATATTGATAATCAGAAACTATAATATTGAAATATTGTATACCTAGGTATTGATAAACTATACAGACGCATCACATAATGATTAATGGTATCTCTTCACTTTTCTGCCTATCGATTATTAAGACGATATAAAGTGAGAGAAATTTGGCCCAAACAATATTTTATGTAGTTATTTTTTTATTTTCCCAGGAGCTTTCTCAATAAATGGAAAAATCTAGGAAAAACGTAGGAAAACGGGAAAATAGGTTCAATATTAAACAAATATTAATAAAAAATATATATAATGCATATGTCATTATTTTACCATTATAGGTATAACATATATATTTTTGATAAAGTAACACTGTCAACTGAACTTCGCTTAGAATCGTTTTTTTGTTAGCAATGGTTAATTGTTGAGTATAGATATACATTACATTTCCCCACTAAATTACCTTTCCAACTTCTCACCTACAAGTGGCCCACCTATCGTGCGAAGTATGTCCGTCTTTTTATTTCAACGCATTTACGTATACTAGGTACGCATTCTTATTACCACATTATTTTACTATCATAGATTTCAGATTTTATTCCAATTTGTAAAAAAGATAAAAATGTTTACGATATAATGGTATAACTTAAAAAAAGAAGCGTAGTGAATTGTTGGAGTATAATGAATTGCCTCCTTTAAACCGGCACACATGTTAATTTTGACATAATCCCGGGAACCAAATGCCCTACAGTGAGTACTATAGGGATGAAACGGTAAAAACAACAAAGCATATACAAAATCATAAATTATAATTAAGAAGAGCTTAATTGGAATTTAAACTCAAAATGAATACGGATTACCCACGGGTAGAAATCTGGTTTCTGTAGGTAAAATAACTACGAAATAGTTATGGTAGCAGTGAGGAAGTATTGTGAAAAACAGATCCCTCACTGTCCGTTCAAATAAGAAAAAAAAAAAAAAGGAAAATGGCTATAGTGTTTAAAAATAAAAATATTCAAACTAAAACAAGATTCGGTGATTCATGAATAATAATCATACAAAATAAAATAATTCTAAAAAAAAATATCAATTTGGGTAAGTTTTTATTTATTGTAGGTTGTAGTTTTTTTTCATAATGTGAACCGTTTTTAAGATAATATTATTAGGTACATTTCCCAGTACCCTGGTATTCATACTATGTATATTAACCATGCAATATTATGTACCCTGTTTTGTATGACCTTCAAAAATCCTTAAAATTCAATTTCATCTTACAGGTGCTGCGGTAACGTTACCTCAATTGATGGTACCATTATTGTAATAATACGATTAATTTACCTATTATAAATAATAATGTACCTACGAATATTTGGAATTATTATAAAAGTTAACATTTGAATATTATTATATACTTTCATTCTTTGTAAAAAATAATAAAATAATTTATTACAAGGGCTGTGCCTACCTACCCAGTGAAAGCTGAAAAGACATATTAGTTATTTTATAATAAAATAACTAAAATAACATTAAATTTAATTACCCAGTAAAGTGAAGAAGATAGTGGTTTTACAATTATATATATATATACGAGATTATACCTCGTATAATATACAGGATGTCCAACGAGGATTCGACAAATGCAATAACTTTTGGTGTATTCAAAATTTTTGATATACATATATTCTTTAAATAATTGTATGGCTCAACGCTACAGTTTACCTATAGATGAACATTTTTTTTTTTTAGAGAAAGGGGACTTTTCTCTTTTATAAGTTAATATCAGGCAATAATATTATCATATTATAGGTATTAGGTAGTATCAATCAATCAATAGTGATGATTTATATGGATACATAATATTGTTATAATTGAAAAGAAAATTATTCACAAAATCATAGAAAATAAAAGACCATACTTTAACAACAATTTTAACCACTAAAAATGTCCTAAAAATCTATTTTACAAAATGGCTATTTTGAATTTGTTTAAAAAATTATAGTAAAATTTTAAATGTTTTAATAAAGTCCCCCACCGCCCAAAAAAAAATGTTCACACATAAATTGTAGCGCAGAAGCATACTAATTATTTTAAAGAAATCGAATATGTTTCCGTTTTTTTCCACATTTGATGAGACAACTCCTGAGCAAATCAAAAAATGACCTTCCTAAAGTTCCACCCCAAGAAAATTTCGTTTCAGAAAAGAGTCTACATCGTATATGTCGGAGTGTGCTTTCTGGTAGAAAAAGTGTTCACATAAAAAAAAAATAAACATCTTTGTAAAACCATTACATTCTTCGCTCCACTCAGAATCTAAAATTATAGAAATTTGAAATCAAGGAAATAAAGTATATAATTAATATAATTATACATATTATATATTATATACTAATTATTTGATTTAAGTAGGCATATGATTTTGGATTATTATACAAATTTTATTTGAAACGAATTATTTTCTTTATATGTTTATATTTGTAAAATATAATATATATTTATATGTGTATACATTTTATATACTTTTTCAACATAAGTTACAAAGGTATACTTTTTTAATTTTAATGCCCAAACGTACTGCACTAACTTTAATCACTGTTGGTAGTTTAACAGACCCAGGGGCAGACTTGCCCGGATGAAAAAGTAGAGAAATACACTCTGGGCTAGTCAACGATAAGAAAATATAAATTATACGTAGATGTATGTGTTTTAAATTTAAAATATAAAATTGTCGTAGTTCCGTAAATAAGCTGAAAGGTTGCAGTCTTATTATTTTTCATTTCTACCTGGATTGATATGCACCCAGTTTGTCCTTGAATAGGCCGTAAGAATTCGGTGTATTATCGAAAAGGTACTACACATTTTTACGATAGTTCCTCGAAATACCTGGACCTACAGGTACGTCCGATAAATCTAAGTATTTTTTTTTTCACGTATCGATGAATTCTAGGCACATATTCTCTTCCACCCCAGGAGGCATTCATTGTATTGATTTGACAATAGAGCGAGGCGAAATTACAAGAATTCAACGTTTCGACAACCAAAAATATATTTCAGTACACATGTGAAACTACCATAATATAGGTACACATATTATTATACATTTTTATTTATAAAATATCTATAATAATTTATTCTAGAAGTCAATTAATTTAGGCAATTAAGCTGTTGTACAATAATTTTAAGATACTTAGTATGTAGAACCTTATACTAACCATATTAAATGTTCATTTAACTTAAGGTACGGCGTACATTATGAGAATAATAATATTAATGCTTATTATACCGAGTGATCCATTTAAGTGGGTATATACGTTATCTTGGAAAGTATTAACTTTTCTTGGAATTTGTTTTCTAGAACTTTTAAGTTTAGGTTGGAGAAGAGTAGTGGAGTATTATTTGTGTGGCGGTACGGCGCGCAGCGTGTTAATAATGCACCACTTACTCTTTTCCAACCAAAAATTAAAAGTGGAATATCTCGTCAGTGGCTAGAGAGAAATCAAAAATTTCAATACTCAAATTTATTTTAACTAATACTCCATATATTTATGGAATTTTTAATATATGTTACCGTTTGAAAATTAAAAGTAGGCAGTGGTTTTACCCCAAAAAATAATGATGACAAAAAATAACATAAATATAAAATTATAGCGCTGCTTGTTTCTTAAAAGTTCTAGAAAATAAAATTTATTAATTACTTTGAATTTAGTAAATCATTTTAATATGACTCAAAAGTAATATATTATTCAAAACGGAATAACAAGTTTGATTTGTTTAGGTGTTAATGATGTAATAAGCAGGGTTTGATAAGGTGAGGGCTGCAACCCTGAGTCAAAGGCAAAGGTGGCCACACTTTTTCGTCTTTTTTTAAATTTTTTTTTAGATTCTAAGTATAGTAAAGAAGTTATTAGTTTTATATAAGTTTTTTTTCTGGTTAGTAAAACAATTTTAGATTCTGAGTAAAAGCGAGGAATGTATTGGTATTACAATGATATTTATTATTTCTTTTTATCTGTAAACGACTTTACTACCAGTAATTTTGCTCCCATTTTGAATTAAAGCACTTTTTCTGAAAGGAATCTGACTGACGAGGTCAGTTTTTTGATTTTTCCAGTAATTGGGAAAACCGGGGAAATTTACGAAAACAATATTTTTATATTTTTAAATTGTGTTTTTTTGTTTTGTTGTAATTCAGTTTATAATGTTTGTAAAGATTTGAAATTTCGACAACATTATATTTGCCTTTTATTTATGTGATAAAATTTTAAAAATATTTGAGTTTTTATAGACATTTTAATTTTGCGAATATTTTTTGTAATATTTATTCGGTTCGTTATGAGTCGTACTTTGTCATAAAAAAATTAAATTTAATGTAAACATTTTTTTCAAAGGAATTTTAATAACTCATTTTGATAAAATTTGTAAATATCAAGACCTAATTTGTAAATTTTACAAAGCAACATTAATAACTTAACTCCATTCAGAGTCGTTTTACGTTAGCAACGGTTAATCGTTGCATACAGATATATATTCAATTCCCGGGAAGTACGTATCGTACTTCCCAACTTCTCATTTACAACAATAGCTGCACTGTTTCCGCTGCTCCCAATTATTTTCTATGAGTTTATTATGAGTTTTCTGTCCGAATTTTACGTCTCTTCAAATATTTTAAACTGAATTATAACAAAAAATAAAGTTGAAAATAATAAAACCATTATTTTCATAAGTTTTCCGGTTTTTCCTACGTTTTTTTCCCAATTATTATAAAAACCGCTTGGAAAATCAAAAAATGACCCGTTCAAAGTACTAATTAAATTAAATTTTTGTTCAGAAAAAGTTCTATAATTGATACATCGGAAGAAGATGTATTTCTTGGTAGAAAAAATGTTCACAGTAAAAAAAAATAAAAATAAAAAAAGTGATGATACTGGGGACGGGTGTGGCTACTGTTGTAGGTGAATAGTTAGGAAGCAGGATACATAAGGTTATTTCAATTATATCTGTAAGCAACGATAAACCATAGCTGCCGAAAGACGATTCCGAACGCAGTTCGGTAATACATAATTTGAAGTGATTTTTTTCAAATTAACCTACGTTTTTTCTCGATTATTATGAATACTAATTCAAAAATCAAAAAAAATGAACTACATCATTAAAAACAAGATTAACAATTCAACAAAAAAGGTGTCATATTGTTATTCAATTAGAGCAATATTTGTGCTAGAAAACGTGGTAGGTACTTATTTAAAATAACGAAATCGTGAAAAAATCGTAATTTTTTCCTCGATTAATCGTTTTTATTATAAATACAGTTTGAAAAACCAAAAAATGTATTTGTATTTACTAAATAGATAAAATTGACTTTTAGAAAAGCTGCTACACTTATTACACCGAAGCAAGTTTTCTAGGATAAAAGTGGTCTATAGTATATATATATATAAATAAAAAGTACCATTGTAAACAAATTTAACCGATGATTTTGAAAATTTTACCACATCAAAGTAAGTCCAATATAAGTATTATTACCAAGTTTTAAGTATCTACGTATGCTTATAAACGAATTACAGCAAAAAAACTCCCAAAAATTACAATTCCTAAAAGCTCAAAAGTGAGTTAAAAATTTTGGCGATGATACCATAAGAAAATAAATAAAAGAGGAAACAAAAATTTGTCTTTTGATTTTTCGATTAATCAGTATTATGGTTTTTTTCATGTTTTCATCGTCCGTGTTTTTATAAAATAATGAAATTGTACGTATTCTTACGGTTTTTCTCACTTAAGTGCTTATGTTTTAAAAATGGTGCCGAAAATCTAAAAATGACCCGTTTAAAATATCATATAGACAACTTGAGCTTTCAGAAAAGTTACACGTAAAAAGTAGAACAAGTTTACTAGGAAAAAACGTGTCCACAGACCAAAAGAAAAAAAAATAAACATTTTAGTAAAACTAATAACTCCCTCGTTATGCTCCGAATCTAAAATAAATAATAAAAGTAATATAAATATACATACATAATTTAAAATTATTATTCTTTTGTCGCAATTATAATGAAACTTTTAGCATTTTTTTTTTTTAAAATATAAATAATTATATTTTTTAATATAATATTTTTTGAAATACATTAATGATTTTCAAACACATATTTCATTTTTATTTTATATTTGATTTGAGTATTTTATCTTTTTATAGTCAAACGAGAAGCTAAATTTTATCATATTTTAATATTTTACATTATTTATCTAACAGTAAATAATAATCATTAATTAATAAAGTATGTTATATAACTACAACCGTTATAAAAACTATAATACAGTAAGAGATTATTTAACTAAATATTAAATCTTTTTTTTTTTTGATTAATTATCAATGCTAATAACTATTTTAGATCGAATGCGATTCTTAATTTAATATATGAGCAAAAAGATATTTTTAAACCTTTGACTTTGGACATAGTAAACAGCGATTGTTTAATATATCGCAGTTGAATAATATTACAACCATAATCAGTATTTATAGAGGTGTGGTTTGAACAAACATGTGCATTTAAAACATATTACTAATACAATAGGATTAAAACATATTTCAAAATAATGCTACCAAAATATCAATAAAATATAAACCTATCGAATTTAGACAATATTTGTTTATATATATATATCAATGATACTTAATTATTATCAATGCTTAGATGTACAATTTGAATAAATATAGTAAAGTTGTTTCGTGTATATCTACGAGTGTGCCTGTTGTATGTTGTATAGGCAACTCAATTTACATAAAATAATAAAAATATTCGTTTTTTTATGATATTCCGTGTTCGATTTATTGGCGTATATTAAATTCTTAAGAGGGCGTTATACCCGCAAGTGCTATCTCTATCTTAAAATCGAGTAACATAGCAAATGTTCGTTCGGCAAAAACAACCTGTGATATAGGTTTTAATATTAGAGTGAATTGACCTATTAACAATCTAAAGATAAGAACATTATCTGTATTGTCGTTGTTTTCTCCTTAATTTTAATTTTCAAGGGATATATTATGGATGTGTGAAATATCACGATTTTAAAAAGGTCCTCTAAATTTTTAACACCGATCCGATAATTTTAGGTAGAAACAAAATTGAACTGTATACATATTATAATAGCAGCTAGTTGTATAATAATAATAATAATAATAATAATAGGCGTGTTTCGGCGATGCAGTTTTGAGCAACCCGGTTCCTAGTTTAGTGAACAAACTATTTTGGCGACACAGTTTACTGCAATTGTTTGATAGCTGAATGCACTTTTCGAAAACCGGGTTGCCAAAATCAGCAAACAATTTAAAACTACATTTACTGCTTTCGGTTACTAATGTAATATCTTCTTATAAGGACTATCATTCAATCATTCCATCCATTTATACAACAAAAAATATTATACAGTAAACAAAACGTTTTGGCGAGCAACCGATCAAGTAGCAAACAACAGCAAACTGTTTATTAAAATTTGTTTCGCCAAAACGCACCTATTGTGTAAATTTAGGAATTTGTTAATCATTATTTGATTAGTATAACAATAATGAACATCTCGCCGAATTTAACTTTTTGTTAGAAATTGGATTTAATAGACCGACGCCGTTACAAATTTGCGTGGCACATTTTACATTCATACAAATTGACAATGATATGACTAACAGTGTTGCGTGCACGCACAGCATCGCGCGTAAAGTGAGCGTAATTTCTTGGAGATGACATTTAGCGAACAATTAAACTGGCGTGAGAACGTAAACGTGACAATTAATTAATTAGCCTGCGGGTTTTATGCGAGTGTATATAATGTATATATTATACACATATATATATTTTTTTTTTTAGCGGCGGCATGTAATACACCCTTTTTCCTCCGGACGTGACGCATATTGCCCGGATATTATACGCGCCACTTACTCATCATCATCATCTCTCGTCGTCGGTCCCATCGCGTATGTTTCGTATATTCCGTCCCGCTATCCCACGATTAACAATCGACCGTTTAAATAATATGTATATGTATACACACATACTTAATAATAATATGCGATGGACCCTCGGAATCTCTAGATGTGATGCCGGACGAAATTGTACGTGGGAGAAGTGTCGAGGTGTAGGTACTATACGGCGTTATATTATTATATATTATGCTATACCAACAATACGCTGTGACGAGAGTGAACGAGTGTGTGTGTGCGGGGGAGGAGGTGTGTAGGAGATGGGAGGAGGAAAGCATACATATAGGTACACATAGGCGGGAAAATGAGATATTACGGCGATAATAATATTATCGTCGTTGTTATTATTATTATTATTTCATTTCGTATATTATACGGTACTATTATTACTGCTATTACGCAGAGTCTGGCCGTGCGGCCGCTGTAGTTGCTGTTGAACGGCGAAGGGGGGGGGGGGGTGCGGAGGGGAGGGGAGAGGACGTGAGAGGTCGTGGACGGACAGCCTAAATACGGTATTATAATTGATTGTGAACGCGTCGTTTTTTTTTTTTTCCTCGACATTAGATCGTTTCGAATGTTTTACAATAGGGCGCGCGCGCGCGTGTGTGCGCGTGTATTTTAAAACGGTTGCCTGCAGTAATGCCAGTTAAACGTTATACGCCGGATGATGGGACCGCGGCGGGGTTAACCGCTGGAGCGAATAGGTCCGCCAACCCGACGATGGACACGCGGTGAGGTCAAACACACGCTCGTCTAAATAGTGTATTGTAATAACATATTCGACTACTCGCCATAATAATATTATTATGACATTACGCGCTGCCTCGTTCCAGCATTACATTATTGCATCCGTTATGCGGCGTTTATCATTGTCGAATCGCGACATCGCATGTCACGTCGTTCGATCGAAAAAATACGATTCGGCGTTACACCCATACCGGGGCCGTTGGTACCCGGGTAAGACGGGCTCAAGTCAATTTTCGATAATTATTTTACCGTTATTATTATTTTACATATAATTCGGTTTTATACGGAATTTCTCAAGCTCTCCCCCCCCCCTCCCACTCAATCTTTATTCCGTTCGGGCTAAATGGTATAAAAGAGTGTACGGATATTCGAACACTTGTTAAACAAAACATTAAAATATCTTACGTCATTGCGTAAATCCGTGACGTATACATTTTGATTGGAAAAAACGCTCAAATCGTGTTATAAACTATTATAATATGTCTTAAGCCGTTCACAACGCCGTATGAAACTTGGGCCGTTTACCGAATGTGTTACTGAGCAATTTTTGCTCAGTAACATAAAAATTAATTAATTTGCGTACATTGAAAAACTATACAAAATTGATTCAAATCCTTCTTTCCTGGACGCCAATATATTATAATTATACCTATATAAATTCAGGGACGGCCAACCGGATGGGCATGGAACCGGATTAATAGGACTTTTACCAATTGTACATTTATACGTCTAAAGTTGGAATCTGGTTTTTAGACAAATGTTGTAATAAATAAAATCTTAAATAATTGTAGTAGCTATTCGAAAATTGCCTACTATATATTATTATAACCTAATTCGAATTTTTATCTCACTTTTATATTTAGGAAGGTTAATAGTACCTTGGCATATCTTTTATGTACCAATACCTATGGAATATATTTACATAAAATAAAGTTAAATATTATAATATTATGTAAGCAGTGAATATTACATAAGGTATCTATAGGCTTCAGTATTTATATCTATACGTATTAAAACGGATAAATTTTTTTTTAATTTTAGATTTTGAGTGTAATGAGGAATCGGAATGTATTGATTCTGTACAGTTTTTTTTTTCTTTTTGTAAACAATTTTACTACGAGAACTTTAACTCTAATCAAAAAACGAGCTTTCATATAGTTGATCTAGTTGGTGCAATGTGAAGGTCATTTTTAATTTTAAATATAGTTTTCTTAATAATTAGAGAAAACCTATAAAGAAAAAATGTAGCAAAAACGGGAATATTCACAGTTTCATTATTTTAAATTCGGAGCATATATAAGCAAGGAGCAAGAGACCCATTGGTTTTATTATGATGTGTGTGTTTTTTTTTCCTGTTTGTAAACAACTTTTTTACCAAAATCATGCCCTGATGTATTCAGTGTAGAACCTTTTCCGAAAGAAAATTTTATCTAGTCGGTGTATTAAAGAGGTTATTTTTTGATTTTCCAAGGGGTTTTCATAATAATCGGGAAAACCCAAAAAGAATATTATAGGTAAAACGGCAAATACAAGATTTACTACATGCCGTAGTGTTAAGGATACCATTGTTTTTAATTTTTGCAAACTATGTTTTCTACTAGAAATATTGCTCCGATAAAAAACCGACAAAAGGCCTTTTTTTGTTGTATTTTTGAAGATGTTCACGAACAAAGTCGTTTTTTAGCTTTCCAAATAGTTTTCATAATTATTGGGAAAAAGACTAAGAATAAAAACGAACAAATATATACAGTGTACAATTTCATTATTTTCAATTTTTACACACTATGTTTCCTACTAAAAATATTTCTCTAATAAAAAAATGAATAAAAGATCTTTCTTGTTGAGTTAGAGTAATCTAGTTGGTGAGTAAGAATTATTTTTGGTTTTTCGTGTAGTTTTTATTATCTAATTTAGCGAAAAAAAACGTGGAAAGAACAGGAAAATTTACGAAAATAATTGTTTTATTACTCTCAATTTTGTTTTTTATTTTAATTCGGTTAAAAATATTCTTAGAGATTAGAAATTCTGGCAGAAAATCAGTACCTAGTAATAAAAAATTAGCAGCCGTTAATTTAAGTTAAATTATTTGTTTTAAATTATCGCACTTCATTAAAAATAAAAAACTATAGACAATTTCTATACTAATAAATTACTTAGCCCCTTTTTGATATCATAAATTGCTAACGTTTATTTTTTCTTGCCGAGGTTTTTAAACGTACTTAATGGAGGGTTTTTGTTAGGATTTATAATCACAAGAACAAAACAATTATCATCAAAGGTATTATTTTGAATTATCTTTTCACATTTTCACAAATTTTCTTATAGATAAAAATAGTTATTTATGAAAAAATATATATAAGAAAATATAATTAACCGTCCCATAGTTTGGTAGACATCACCATCGAGCAATATTAAAACTTCGTGGTTTATTTGAAAAAAAATTTTGTCAAAAAAAAAAAAACAGAAGTAATCGGTTATCTTCCGAGTTATTCTCGAGACCAATATTTTTTTCAACCATAATAGCAAATTTAATTTAATACTAAATAACGTTGTACCAAGAAAATGTTATAATTAAAGAACGTAATTTACTTATCATTTATTATTTGAATAGCTCTATCTGATGTATCAATATGTAAATTGTAGAGATCTTGCACCGATTTTTAAGTGCAGTACTTTTTCTGAAAATAAATCGATGTGGAGAGATACTTTAGAGGTCATACTTCTATTTTTTCAACAAACAAGGAGTTTTCTCAACAAATGTAGGAAAAACAGGAAATCGGTATATTAAACAAATATTATTAAAGAAAATATTTAATGCCTTACTTAATTATTTTAATGTGACATATTATGTATTGTTGACAAAGCATCACTATCAACTGAACTCCACTCAGAATCGGTTTTTCGTTAACAATGGTTTATCGTTACTTACAGATATATATTAAATTATTTATAACAGTGGCTGCTAATAGTTTTCCTACGTTTTTATCGGTTTTCCCGTTTTTTATTCAGGTTTTTTACATTTGTTGAAAAAATTCCTGGGAAAATGGAAAAGCGACCTTCTTATAGTACCTCCCCACGCCGATTTTCTTTCATAAAAGGTACTACACGTAGTAATCCAAGCAAATCTTCTAATAGAAAAGTTGCGCACAGATAAAAAAAAAAGAATAACATCTTTGTAAAATTATAAGCTTTTTCACTCCACTCAGAATCTAAAATAATAGCTTTTAAAACACAAAGCATCTCACAAAATAAACCAAAGTTTGAAAAAACTTAAAAGTATGACGTTCCAGTTATAAAAAAAAAAAAAATAGTTGTTAAAAATATATGAATATATACTTGAATATATTGAGCCAACCTTTCAATTTTCCCCCTAGAATAATAAAATTATAATAAACATCAAATTCCTTTAAAATATATGATTTCAAAACGTTTTCTTAGGTTATACGTAAGTAATCGTTTGAAAAAATAACTTTTTCTTAGAAAAATTCTCTGTACAACATAAAATTTGATTGTTTCTGTATTTACTTGTACTATGCCACTTTTGTAGTAAAATATCTACAGAGGCAAAATAGGATATTTTAACCTTACCGTTATTATTATTATTTTTACTATCATTATAATATGGCTGCATGATATGAATAATATTGTGAATTACAGATAAAATATATCAAATTGCTTAAAAATATACATAAACAATAAGCTGTTTAAGTACTTAAAATATGATACTACAAGTTAGTCAAGCCTACAATTACTAATTAGTTCACACATTCGAAATTTTCATTTTAAAATCAATAATATCGATATTATATATCGATGAACACCTAACTAATTTGTACAATTTAATAAATTACGAATATATTACATTTTTTTAAATCCGAAATGCCATAGACTTAATAGCAAAGTGTATTAGTGTTGATAATAAACAATAGTATAATACTACTTAAGTAGTATTATAGGTATATCTATTTAAACGTTCGAACATATCGGTTATAAAATAATCCAATTATTAACTTATATACAATGTATACTGTTATATATTTTATGTCAAATAATAATAATATTTAATTCATGTACATATGTATATATACAGGGTGACCAAAATAATGTATAATACCCTCGGAAAGTATTAATTTTTTTCGAAATCTGTTTTTTTTTAAATATTTAAGAAATAAGTAGCTCTGAAATATTTCATTAGGTTATTTTGATTACCTTTATTTTAAAGGGTAAAACCACTACTTAGGTACTTTTGATTTTCAAATAGCAACCTATGTTAATTGCATAAATAGATGAAGTATTAGTTTGAATTCATCTTGGTGTTGAAATTATTGATTTCCATCAATCCATTGATGAGATATTACACTTTAAGTTTTGGTAGGTGAGACTGGCGGAATAATATTACAACGCCACGTACCATGCCACTACGCAAATGATACACCACTACTCCCCCCTCTCCGATTCTTAAAAGTGTAATATCTTATCAACGGATTGACGGAAATAAAAAATTACAACACCAACATTGATTTAGACTAATAATCCATCTATTCGTGACATTTTCAATATAAGTTGCCATTTGATAATCAAAAGTAGTTAATGGTTTAACCCTTTAAAATAAGGGCACCAAAAACAAATTATGTGACATTTTAGAGCTACTTTTTTCTTAAATAATCTAAAAATCAAATTATAAAAAAAGTTAATACTTTCAGAGTTAATGAGTGTCATTCTCAAAAATATAAATTTAAGAAAAATAAATAAATTTTTAAAAATTGAACATAAAATCCATCACATTTTTTTTTTAAATTCGCCTTTTTTACACCAAACCACCATATATATAAAAAATCTATATTCTGATAAAATTTGTATAAAGCCTAAGGAGTAAGGACGAGAATATTTCTAAATTAAAACCTGTTGATATACGTCTTGTATTATTACTATCCCGTGAATAATTCCTTAGAATTTAGATTGTTCTGTATTTCAACTTTGTGTTCAGATGTCACGGCTAAAGTTATACACAACGCAATTTGTCCCGTCTTTTCAAGTCTGTCTCGTATTGATCCCGATTTTTTCTCTACTGGTAATATATAATTTTTGAAATATTTTTAATGTTATTGTGATATTATTGATTTAAATCTCAAGTTTAAAATTGTATTTTTGGGTTATTTTATAGACCATTTTTGCGAGTATATTTTGTTATATACGGTATTTAATAAATTAATAAACAATAAATACGCATATTAAAATCAATTTTATTTTTTTTATTTAAGAATTTACCTGTTTCAACATCTGAAGTTACTTACCAAAATTTTTTTCCAGGCATTTAATATAAAAATTGTTAATATTTACAATAAATGGTTATTATGTGTTTAAAATATATAATGATAAAGCTAAAGTTGACTAGTTAGGTTGCATTTTGAAATAAACTTGATAATTTTTAAAGTATGCAGGTCTTCATTATAAATTGCATTAATGTTGCTCGGGAGACTCAGAATTGTGCAAGGTGGTTCGTATATGGGGCATTCATTTAATATGTGTTTTATAACGATGCGTGTTAGACATGTTTTGCATATTGGTGGATGCATATTATCTTTGCTTATTAAAATTGAATGTGTGGCAAATGTGTGTCAAATTTTTATTCTGGTGATAGCAATATTTTGACGTTGGCTGAGGTCTGGAGGTACATCGTATATTATACCATTATTTTACTAAACTTTTGATGGATTTAAGTTTATTGGTAGGTGTTATGGATTCCCAGCATAGTGTTGCCATGACAAGATATTTTTATTTTTTATTGATGTAGATATATCATTGGAGGATATTTTTTCGATGGTGTTGTTTGGTATATTTTTGGTTATCAGAAGGCAAGCAAAAGTTTTAAATTCTTCAAAAACTATTCTTGAAATGAGTTACAATGTTTTAGTAAAAAATAATAAATTGCTCGGTTATAAGCACAAAAATACATAAAAACAGCAGAAAGAAAATTGGCCAACCGTCATTTTTTAAAATAAAATTGTCCGTGTATAAATATTTTATTTATATTTAGAAAACTTTTATACAGCGCGTCTTTTTTGTTATTTAAGTTATATTTACAGTTAGGTTTACTTATTACACATTATATTTACTTTGCTATACATCACGTTTCATTTGTTTCATTAAAAATCTCGTATTTTTATGATCACTCTGTATTTAAATAATTATATTTTCCCGAGTAAATACCATAATCGTAATTATACATGCCTATTTCACAAACTTGAACTAATACGTTCAATATTATTTACACAATAACCGCGAGAATAACATCCGAATACAAATATGTTTTGCGCGCTTAATAAATTATAAACTCCTTATATATTATTATACAATCACATTATCATTATTATATATCAAGAAGCGTGTTTTTTTTCACTGTGCGTAAAAAATAAAATTAAAAAAAAACTCAAATACTAATAAAATATCAAACTATATATCTAAATCTGCATAAGTACGCGAGAAAGGAAAATTCTAATTATTATTTCATGATCTGGATATTCGTGTAATTTAAAATCTCCTTTGTGGCGGTATTGATTTATCGCGCGTAAATCGTTTAACATAAATCGTCGTGCGCGGCACAACAATTATTATTATTTTTTTTTTTTTATTTTTAAACCGGTTTTTGTTTAACGATTTCAATATTATACTTCATATTTTGCATATTATATGAATATAATATTGTATACCATACCTACTACACGTTACTTATTTTTTACCATACTATACTGCCAAAGTATTGTGGGCGGTTATGAAATTATTAGTATTAATATAATACTACAACGTACGTATACCTATATAAAAACTATATAATGAAATATTTTATAAATGCTAAAATATAACCTTCTGCTTAGAAAACATCGCCGTGAAGTTACAAATAAGTCTATAGGAGTTTTGTAACTATTGCGTATATTATAACGAATACCTTCGAATTACAAATGTTTTTTTCTTCTTTACAGACACTTTAAAATCACCCAAGAATCTAACTTTAATCAACAAAACGTGAAATTAAAAATATCCCGGCCGTTTATTCAATCAAAAAGATTTTCTTTGTTATATTATGAGATATTACGAAAAAAAAGATGAAAAATGCGCAAAATTTATATCAGGCGTAATATTATAACACGACACCGATTTCTATTGTTTCTTTTTTGCATATTTTAAATATTTAATGCAGAATTGACATTTGTTCGCGAATGCTTTATGTTTATATTAATGTATTTTTGTTTCCAGCTAAACGAATTAGTCGGATTACATTTTCAGAAAAAAAAAAAAAACTATAGATACCTACTGTAAAATAAACAAAATTAACAATAAGAACAATTTTACTTTTTATATTTTCACTTTCAATGATATATTTGTAGATAACCGTATCAATATTAATAAAAAGATTTGTTTTGTTTAAAAATTAATGAAATTAGGAAAAAAAAAATCGAGAAATTAAAGGGGAAAAATAGTTTAATAAATAAAATAAATCAGGAACAAATCATATACCTTATATTAGCTATAATTTAAATCCAATTAACAATATAAACTACGACAACTCGTATCGTGTAAATTATTTTTTAAACGAACATAAATCGAATACCGCAGTTAACCGTAGACTTTTATAGAGTTTCACCGTAGAGAAGTATAAATAAATAAATATGAAAGTAGCTATTTGATAATTTTTTTAAAAACTAGTTAAATTAGTTGTGTATTTTTAATAAATATATATATATATATATATATAAATTGTGTAAATTAAATGATTTCCAATTTATATAATATACATACGGTTTAGCTAAAATAAAATACACACTCAATAAAATAAATTTACGAAACTTAGTACCTATATATTATAGTAGTAGATATAGTAGTATTAAGTGTATATTATATTACATTTTGTAATGTATACATATTATATATTAAAATAAATTCCTCGACCCGATAAGAATCTAAAATAATAATAACTTTTACAAAACGAAAGTATAATATTTTACTACACATTATGCACGAAAAAAAAAAAAAAAAAACTGAAAGCGTCGTATAAACCTATTAATATTTATTATGTTTATTAATTATTTGGTCCCGGGGAAAAAGGGCTTCAGTTAATTGTGTATGATACGAGCAAATCAAATGTTCGAAATCGCATGTGATCAATTATAAAATTACATTTTAACACGCATAGGTATTAGAATATACGTACATTTATATCATTCAGATCAATTATCAGACCAATCAGAAGAATTATTTGCTTTGTACAAAAAAAGAACCGCACATATTATTATATGTAATAATTTATGTTTTGATTTTACCGCATATAATTAATACACAATGCAGTGGCGAACGCAGGGGGGATAAAGAGCTCAAGCCCCCTCTCATTGACCGAATTTATTTATATATATATATATATATATATACATGCATATTTGTTTAGATTTTTCGATTTTCAACCGTAACAATAAATAGTAAATAAGGACTTTTTTTCATAAAATACGCCATTTTCGTAAGTAAATAATTTAATTTAAGACCGCTGTCTATTAACCTTACTATACTACTATATTATCGCAAAATAAGATATTATTAGATTTATAAGATAACAATTTTTTATTATTTATTTTAACTGTGGTCACACCGGGCATACGCGGGCTTCCACACAACCTTAGATAATATCTATGATTACAAATTGCAATATTGAACTTACTGAACTGATGTTAACAACAATTAACGCATCGTTAAGTTAACCCACGGATGTTGTAGACAATACTAATATAACCTTTAATTTGTAAAAAACAATTAGGTAGGTATGCAAACAATTTTGTTTTCACTTATTTCTCTTGAGTATCACAGTAATAATATTTTGTATAGAGTTTTCGTCATTATTTTTGTATAAAACGTATATGTCATAGTTTTCTACACTAAAATAACTATTTAATTATTCATTGTGGTAGAAAAAAGATCGAATTTTTTTCGACTTTTAGTTTGAAGAAAAAAAACCGGTAGGTAAGTATGCAATCCACAATTTATAAAATTCTAGTTTTGGTTGACTCTGGCTTTTTTAATCCTCTAATAGCTTAAAAATTGTATTTTACTGCCAAAATTTTCAGTTACCTAAATATTACTTTTTAGATTCTGAGTTTAGTGAAGAATATATTGGTTTACCAAAGATGTTTATTATTTTCATGTGAACACAACTTTTTCTGAAAGGAAATGTTTTTTGGGTGGTACTTTAAAGAGGTCACTTTTTGAAGTTCTCATTAATATTCGAGATAATGAGGAAAGCCTGGTTCTTTAGGTTAGACAAGATTGAAAGATTAAAAATAAGGTTGTCATTAGCAATCGTTTTTATATCTTTTTTTTGTTATTTTATTATGTTTTTATCAATTTAATTTTTTTTAATAATCATTGTTGTCACAGAAACGCACATTGTTGTAATAATTTTAACATATAATTAATATGACATATGTATTGTTGACAAAACAACACTATCAAATGAACTTCGTTCAGAATCATTTTTTAGGTAGCAATGGTTTATCTTTGCTTACAGTTATACATTAAATTCCGATTTAAATTCTACCTTCCCAATTTCCCACCTACAACAGTGGCTACGTGCGAAGTATATCCGTTCTTTTTTTAAAATTTTTTTGTGTACCTATATTTATGTTTATCACTCAGAACTGAGAACGCACCTACTTTATTTTTCAAACTTGTGACAAAATAATTGATTAACTATCAACTTACAAGCCCGGGCCCCCCATTGAAAAACCCTGCGTACGCCACTGATACAGTGTACATTTTAAATGTCACATAAAAAAATATATAAATTAAAAGTAATAATATACGTAATAATATTATAAATACAGTCTACTTACATTTCGGATTCACGATCGTCAGGGTTCATTTCACTAAACTGTAACATATAATACAAAACAAATTACAATTAAGTACACATAATTAATTTAATTTTATAATATATAGGTAATATAAATATAATATGCATTAAATAGGTATATAACAATAATAATTATGAAAATAAACTTCGCGGATTGTACAACGAAGATATTATTGACTTTTGATCATTTTTGTCAACCGGTTATCGGTATATACCTATATACATATATATATAGGTACAGTATTTACCCGACAAAAACAAGCAAGTCGATTTTAAAAAATTTTACCGTAGAAGTGAAAAATTGCGGCAGACTTAAAAATTTAGCAAAATTTACAAAATTAAACAAATAAAAATCTCGGCTTGCGATTTTTTGCCGTATAGTATAATAATTATTATTTCCACGTGCTACTCCTATTTTATATTATTAAATATTTCACGAAATCTGACGCCATCGAATAGAAACGAAACGCACCGTACCGAAGTATAAAACAACAATATTACAATGGGCAATATATTATAGTTAAAAAAAAAAAAAAAAATATTTATACAAATCCGTAAAAACATCTACTGTGGTTATATTATAGGAAACCCCGCGTGATTTTTACGGCGTGAAGCCGGTGTATCGAAACGATTGCGCGCTCGCTTTAAATACGCACGATAAAACCGGAGGGAAAGCAAAAAAAAAAAAAAATTTTTTGAAAACGATAAACCACACTCGACTAACGACACGATTGTATATTATTGTGCGTATATACATACGTATTATATCGGTAACGGGTACGTGTGTAAACATCTAATAAAATATAATACATATTATTGGTATAGTTTAAGTATACGATAAATACCGAGTCGTTTTTTTTTTCCTTCGCCCGCGTTTTATTATTTGTGTTTAATAAATATCGAAAATAAAATTAAGTGTCGAAGAGGAAAAACCAGGTAAATATTATCGTACAATATAGTTATATAATACAGGTGTTTATTGTAATGAAAAAAAAAAAAAAAAAAATCACGGATACCGCGAGCAGAGGTTTTTTACTTACATTCTGGTGTAATTAATCCGCGATGAATGAACGTAAATAAAGTTCCGACCGAGTGTTCTGCAACAGGACGGCAACGACGACGGCCAGAAGGACCTTGGAAGCGAACGGCCAGAGAGGTGCGGCACCGTTTCTTTGCGCATATATAAATATATACTATTATTATTATTATTTATTTTTTTTTTTTTTCTACTACGTATTTATTTCGTCACGTCAAATCATTTGTTGGTGTAGTAAAAAAAAAAAAAAAAACATATACATGCATGTATTTTTTTTGTAATATTAACCGAAATGACTATTACACGCGTTTGTGCTGTGGTGCCTGTACGCGTATTCGTATTGTGCGTGCAGTGAAGTACGCGGCGAGAGATTGCCAATTCGCCAATAATATAGGCGGGACGTTAGGTAGGCACCTGTACGGCTGTGCGGTGAGATTGACGGTCGCGCGTCGGTACGCGCCGTGTGTCGGTTAGGTGCCTACACGACAAGACGAAAAATAGAAGGAAGGAAAACGAAAGAAACAGGTAGGTGTACTCGCGAGAGCGCGCGCGTATTGCCGACGAAAAGACCGCGGCCACATTATACGTGTGCGTTGTTATAGAGACGCGAACACGGCGCGCGCCGCGAATCCGAGCGTCGCAATGTATTCTACCGGTGCGCGTGCTGATAAATATGTACGATATTGTTATCGTCATCACTAACCTGCGCGGCGGTTGTAACGATATATGGGCAGGTACAGGTGCGATGCAATAACGATAATGATCCACCAGTGTTTGCGGCGGCGTAAATCGCGGACCGAACGGGTTTAGGCCGGGCGTACCGCGTTCAGCTGTTCGGCTCAAGGATGGAACACGACGGTGGCCGCGCGCGCGATGTGTACAGAGCAGCTCGACGCACGGACGCGCGGGACCCGCTTAGCCAAATAATGGAGCCGGCGCGCGCGCACGCGCACGCACCCGCCCGCCGCGCCGCGAAGAATACATTATTTTATTATTATCATAATAACATTACAATACTGATATTACCTATTATAATATAGTTGGGTTACGCTACGGTCTGTGTCGCACGCAGCACATCGCGGCCAACGGTTATTGTAAAAAGGGGGAAAACATAGACGGCAAAAAAAAAAAAAAAAAACAAAAAACAAAAAAACAAAACTGAACGTAACGGAAACAAAAACGAGCTGTCGCTGCGGCTGATGGGCGCGACGCGGTTGTAGGCGGAACGTTGGGGCGACACATGATCCGATTTATATTGTTCATCTCCGTGGGCGAAGACATCAAACCGCCGCCAACGGAATACGATTCTGAGCGGAGTTCAGAGACGCCCAGACGTACCGACGTGTCGTAACAATAGTATTTACTATTTTCGTTAGAAAATTTTTATCTGAAAATACTTATGAAGAACAAAACAAAACAAAACCCACATTACACTCAACGTTTATGGGTCTATCGGGATCTATTGGTTTTACTATGATGCGTGGTTTTGTAATTTTTTTTTGTGTCTGCGAACAACATTTCTACCAGAAATGTCGTTTTTTGATTTTTCTAGGAGTTTTATAAATAATTGGGAAAAATCCGAAAGAAAATTATTGGTAAAACGGAAAATATTTACGGTGCGCTGCGGCGAAAAATGCGAATTTTTTTCAAGTTACCGCGCAATGATTTCATTATTTAAAATGATTAAGGATTATGTTTTATACTAAAATTATTACTCCAATAGAAAAACAAGTGCCTTTTTTTGTTGAATTTTGAATGTGTTTGGTGACCAAGATTTATAAGTTATACTTATCAGAAAAAAAAATAATGTAATTAATATAGTGTTTTAGATTCGGAGCGTAGCGAAAGTGATATTGGTTTTACTAAGATATTCATTTTTTTTTCTTTTGGTCTGTGGACACGTTTCTTCATAGTAAACTTGCTCCACTTTTTACGTGTAGCAACTTTTCTGAAAGCTCAAGTTCTCTATATGGTATTTTAAATAGGTCATTTTTGGATTTTCGACGCCATTTTTTAAATAAAAGCACTTAAGTGGGAAAAACCGTAGGAAAACGTACAAAATAGGTTTCGATTTTTTTCTGGTTACCCGGTTATTAAAACCGGTTCCAAACTCTTTTTTATTCCCTGATTTATATACGTAATCGAACTCAATTTTATTTCATTTTAACTGAATATAGGAGAATATTTGGGGCGGTTTTAGCTTATTTTTAAATCCTACACGTATAATATTTTTATGAATTAATGTGTATGAAATAAAACAAATTTAGAAGTCTTGTAGCTATGATGGGTTTTCTGAAAGTTTGGTTTGGTTTAGTTAGTTCTCGGGAACATCACTCAATTTTCGATAAATATATTACCTCTTTAAAGTTTTTCCAACTTTATCCATTAATTATAAATATAGAGCTTGGGACTTATTGCTCTTAAATTCATAATAAAGCACTTAAAAACGTCAAAAAAGCCTTAAAAAAGAGCACGCCAACCAAATATTATTAGACCAAATTGTAGAAGAGTTTAAATGTCCCCTGTCTAAAAACTAAATAATTAAGTATTATTTTATCACATGACACAAATTATTTTTAAAAATGTATTTTGTTTAAATAAAATTGTAGGTACATATTATAAAAAAAATAACTTTGGCTTAATAATTTGTGTAGTGTTAGAAATGTGTATTCAATAAGTTAAAGCTATTAAATGGTGGGCATTTAAACCTATTTACCATTTGGTGTAATAATATTTGCTTGAAGGGCTTTCTTTCAAAGCTTTTTTGACGTTTTTAAGAGATTTTTTGTGAATTTGAAGTGCAAAAAGTCCTGAACCTTAAATTTATAATAAATGTATGAAAAAATTAAATGCGAATGATTAGCTGCTAAATGTTGAAATCTATATTCTATTCAAGATAGTTTTACGTAAAAGGTTGTTGGTGCGTATATGTATTTTTTCTTAACTGCAGGGTTCTCGACAGGCGCTTGAGATGCTGAGGAAATCGTTTTTTTTTTTTTTTTTAAATACATTTTTAAAGCCCCATTGGTTTTCACGTCGAGGCCAATAGAACATAATCAAACAGATTATATATAAACAATATTAAAATTTGAATTTCGGATTATTTCGGAAGTATGCATAAGTGCATGTGATTATCGCGACGATCGTAATATCGCCAGAACGCTGCTAGCGTGCTAAATGTATAGTTTATTTTACCAACATTAAATGTTTTGAATGTAAAAATATGTAGATCTTTCACGAACAAAGAACGTCCATTATATTTATTATACATATTATAACTAATTGATCTAATACTAAATTGCAAACACCAAAGACTCGGTGTTATAAAGAATTATTTAATGTTTTACATATATCCGTGTTATTATGATGTAATGTAAGCATAACATTAGATTTTCTTAGTTCTAAATTATTTATCGTTATTTACAAATTGTATACAATTTTTCCTAGGACCCAATTAAATTCCCATTAATATATTATAAACGCTTACACACACGTAAAGAATTTCCGTTTATTTTCCAATTTGTCATAATTTCATATTTGAATTTTTTCTTAAAATTCTAGTTATAAATAATTCCTATTGCAGTACCCATCGCATTTTTGACTTCGAGTTATGGAATGTCATCTGGAATACAAATTATAACACTCATTATTTTATATTATAGTACGATTTATAATTTGTTTTTACTCTTATTTTATACCTATTAAGTATTATACATTAAACTGTGTGGAAACGAAATTTAAAACACTCAATATACAAGCTGTCCCATGAAGATATACCTTCGGAGATATAAATATAATCAAATTATGGTTTTTTTATATTACTCACAAGAATGTGGAGTATAAATATTTATACATGATTCATTTTTTTTTTTATTAAACAAATTTAAATAATAACTTTATTTTATTATTTTCCGAAAATTTTAAGACAACCATTCTGTAGAGTTTATTTTTCTGAAAATTTTAATATATCACACATTTATATCCGATAAATAGTTTCTAAGTAACAGCCATTTAAAGTTCTACTAATCCGTGTGAAAACCGATTTTTTGATAAAAAAAATGGATTAAATTCAAATTTGTTTTTAAGACTACTAAGTATAACTTCTTAGAATGTACTTTGTGTTAAATTTTCAAACATTTCTCTGAAGTCATGGAATTTTAATAACAGATAAAAATTTATATAAAAACACGAAAATATCAATTACGCATAGATAGCCTAAAAATAGTTATTTTTTGAAAACTTAAATACTGTTCATTTTGCCGTATTTCCTATGGATTTTCTCGGTTTTTTTGTAATTATAAAAAAAATTATACGAAAAAATAAACGACATTCTAACTCGTACAAACTAGACAAAATTTTCTTTCAGAAAATATGCTATTCTAGGAATTGGGACAAACATTTCTGGTAAAAAATTTAATCTTCAAAATTTGACATAATTAAATCGTTGCTCCGTAATTTGAAAAAAAAATTAGATTTTTCGTCTTTTTTTATTTCGCCAATTATTATGAAAATCACTTTAGATGTTAAAAAATGACCTTCTTCGTGAGTGGCTGGATATTAAATAGAACAAAGTCGATCTTTTATCATTTTTCAATTGGAGTAAGATTTCTAGTAAAAAAACATCGTTTGCAAAAATACAAATAATTAAATCGGGATGCCAAGTTGCTGTAAATATTAATCAATGTTATTATTTTTTATTTTTTCCAATTATTATGAAAACTACTTTAAATATCAAAAAACGGTTCCTTATCAAAGGCTATATATTAAAATACCAAGGTCACTCGGTAATATTTGATTAAAGTAATATTTCCGGTAGAAGACGTAGTTTACAAAAATTAAAAACAATGACATCGATAACGTCATTGCATATTTGCTGTTCTTCCGATAATTTTTTCCCGAATTTCCTCAATTATTTTGAAAACTCCTTCTAAAATCAAAAAAGTCCTCTTTAATAGACCAACTAGATAAACTTTCCTGAAGAAAGACATTACATCTTCATATCGGAGCATGATTTCTGGTAGAAAAGTTGATCACAGAAAAAAAAACAACACAGATAAACCAATAGTAAAATCAACAGATCCTTTACTACGCTCTGTATCTTAATAAATTGATTGTTGAGTTGATAGTTTGAAGTAAACTTTCTTCAAATATTTTAATTGTGTGAATATCCCGGTATTCTGTCATATAGTTTTCCAAGTATTGTATTTATTTTATAAATGTAGGTATTAAACGTGAAACAATTCGGTACATCAGCCAATACTTTATGGTCAAAATGGGGAGTTACCAATTAAAATGCGAAAGTTTTGTTGAACGTTCGTGTAACTGATTATTAAAATTCAGAGATCTTATAGACGTGCATTAACATAATTATAACAACTATTATATTTTCTATTGTTCTATTTTATCCAATTATATCATATGTAAATAATAATAACAACAACTTTACTAACTAAAAATAAAATTCAAATTTTACGACGGCAGAGATTTGAGTGTTTTCAATCACCTACAGTTTTCACACTGTATGTAATACAATTACATAATTAACTGCAGGTAGTTAATTAAGTAATTTCAGAGAAAAAACATAATTATATTGCTAATTATAATCATACATTTTATATCTATAATTATTTAAACACGGATTATAATTAATATGTCGATTAGTTGATTAGTTTAATACGAATATTTCTAATTTGCATAAATTAAAGTATTGAGTGATACAAATGATACTCAATTTAATAATATAAACCAATTAGTTATTACAAATTAGAACATCTTTATGACGGTTATTACACGGATATTACACGATGGTCGGCGCATCTGCGATATGACCGCCGCCGTAGAATAACAAAAATTATTAATATAAAAGGGGTTTCATGATTTACTACTGATCGGCTCTGATGCCCTGAAGTCTCTTAAATCAAAAAATAACGGTATTTTCCTTAATGCTCGCGCGGGAAATCTTTTGGATATAATGAATCCAGGAATTATTTTATATTTGGATAGCCTTCGCAACCACGTGATTATCTTTAATGATTTCGCAATAAGCATTCTTGTCATTCATAATAAAAAATAATAATTTTTACAAGTTCGGAATATTATTAAAATTGGTGGCCAATCGGTCTAGACTCTAGATAATGTGTTATGGCTTAAATAATAATATATAGGTATTTGTCTTAAATATGAATCATAAAATAATAGACATTGAACTTTTGCTTTTGGGTTTGGGAAAAAATTGTCAACATTTTTCAACAAAATGGTCTATGCAGTTTTCTTAATAATTGGGAAAAAATGAAAAAGTTTACAACATTAGTGGATTCATTATTTTCGATTTTGTTGCAAAAGTCTGAAATTTTCATACAAATTTATATTACCTTTTCCAGACATGGTGAATTTTTGAAATTTTCTGATAATTTTTTAGCTATTTATAGGCACTTGACATTTTCGAGTTTTTTTAAGTTTTTATTTGGTATGTATTGTGTGGTTAAATGGTATTGTTTGACTGAATAATAATAATTGAAAGGCGAGGTTCATTTTTAGATGTACTTGGTAGATTTTATTTTGGCATGTTTTAAAATATATTGACGAAAATCGGAAAAGTGATGGCATTTTAAAATATTTATCTATGCCTGACGTTGCTTAGAATTGATTTTGATTTTCATTAACAACGGTTTATCGTAAATATTTAAAAACATTTGAGTGATTTTTCAGCTATTTATATTTTATAGGCATTTTATATTTACGAATATTTTACGTAATTGATATAGATACTATGTATATAATCTTCAATATTAGAGCCTTACAAATCATGTATAAATGAATTTCGCTCAGAAATCAGAATTGTTTTTCGTTAGCAATGGTTTATCGTTGCTTACTTAAATGTTATACTCACACAACACGTATACGTATAATAATTTATATTTATAAAAGTGTAACTATAATATTTAGATATAACTGAGTACTTGGTATTGGTATTTTAGTAAAAAAAGTTGTTGATAGAATAAATACAATGTATATTCGTTATTCGAGAAAATATACATAATTTATACTAGTAATATAGTTGGAAAAATAAAATTCACACGACGGTCGGCGCATCTGCGATATGACCGCCGCCGTAGAATAACAAAAATTATTAATATAAAAGGGGTTTCATGATTAACGGGTTACTACTGATCGGCTCTGATGCCCTGAAGTCTCTTAAATCAAAAAATAACGGTATTTTCCTTAATGCTCGCGCGGGAAATCTTTTGGATAATCACTCTGTTGAGAACCCCATATACAACAATACGCATCACCTGCAACTTCAACAATATATAATTTTTCACTTCATTATAATATAATACCGTTTAGATTCTGAGTATATCGAAGAAGCTTATAGTTTTACTAAGATGTTTTTTTTTTAATTTAATTTTTTTTTTCTGTGCGCAACTTTTCTAGCAGAAGACTTGCTCAGAATTTTAAGTGTAGCACCTTTTCTGAAAAGAAATTTGTATGGGGAGGTAATTTATGGAAATGGTTTTTAGATTTTCTCATCAAATTTGAAAAACTGAAAAAATAAACGGGGAAAATGTGGGAAATATATTACTAAAATTTTAGGATTTTTTTTTTCCTGCACAACTTTTCAACCAGTAATTTTGGCTCCAATGTATAATGATAGCAATGTTCCTAAAAGGAAATTTCAATAGAGAGGTACTTTAAAAAGGTTCTTTTTCGATTTTTTCAAGAGTTTTCCAGGCAAATGTGAAAAATCTGGATATATAATAAAACCGGAAAAAACGTAGTAAAACTAGGAAAATCGGTACAACATGACACAAATATTATTAAAGAAAATATATAAAGCCTATTTAATTATTTTACTATAAAATGACATAAATATTGTTGACAAAACACCACTATTTACTCAAATCCGCTCAGAATAGTTTTTTCGTAAGTAATGGTTTATCGTTGTTTACAGGTATACATTAAATCCCCTATAATAGTGGCTGCAATATCCTAGGACGTTTTTTTTTTTTATTATATTTTATTTTTCTTCTCTATTTTGATCTTTAATTATCACTAATTTTTTGATATTCTACAATTTTCGCCAAAATTAAGAAATAAATAACAAGTATTTTTTTATAAAAATTATGTGTAATGATAGGCAGCCTTTCGATTCTCTTATTCTCTATTTTTTTTTTTATATTTTTAAATTAAATTTATAAAGATGAAAATCTATAAATGAAATATTAGATTTATTTAATTTATATTTAATTTTCAATTAATTTTTTTTTTTTTTATTTGTATGTTTATTATAGAAATATATTATTATAAATGATAGATGCTAATGTAAATAATAAAGAGTATTTTAACTTTTATATTTATTAATTAGTCACAATTCTCAGCAAATAAGACTAAGTTTTATAGTTGGGCACCGATTTTTAGTAATACAGAAAATAAGGAATGAATGGAAAGAAAAATACAATTCAAGAAATAGTATTTAATCTTTAAAACAGGTTAGAATATTTTATTCAATTATCGTCTATATAATATTATGTTACCTATATAATTCGAAACTTATTATATACGTGATCTGAATTACTTTTTATCAATTTATACAATTTTACGAGGTGTGGCTATTAAATAACGAGACTGGTTAAGAAATAGTGTTTTATTATAAAAATTATTCTACATTCAAATGCTCCCCTTCAATATACTCCCCTCCTCTCACCACAAACCGTTTCATTCGTTTCTTCCATTGCTCGAGACAGTGCTGGAAGTCTGTTTTCGTAAGACCATTCAGGAGTTCCGCCGATTTTTGTTTCACCTCTTCCATCGACTCAAACCGGATTCCTTTTAAGGCAGACTTTATCTTCGGAAACAAGTAAAAGTCGCAGGGTGCCAAGTCGGGTGAGTAAGACGCTTGTTCGAGTACTGGAGTGCCTTAAGCGGCCAAATAACGCTTCAGAGACAGCGCGTTATGGGCAGGTGCGTTATCCTGGTGCAAGATCCACGACTTGTTTTTCCACNGGTTCACAGTTTGACCCTCTGGAACCCATTCAGTCATCACGATGCCGTTGATATCGAAGAAAACGGTTTTGAATTTGGATTACGACTGAATTGGATTCCGGTGCACTCTCGACCTTCAGAAAATAATTTATGCCACTCAAAAACACGCGTCCGAGATAGGAAATCCTCACTATAGGCCTCTTTTAACAACTTATAGCACTCAGTTGGAGGTTTTTTTTAGTTTAACGAGAAAATTGTACATTTATCCGTTGTTCATGTTTTTCGTCACACATGGTTTTCGGCACGAGAAAAAAACACGTTCGTTTCAAACCACTACTGCACAAATACTATAATAGTGACGAAAACGTGTTTTGGTATGTGCATAGATAAGATATCTAGATACCCAACGCATTACTCGTTTTTTTCACTACTCATTTAGAGCGCCTTCTAGGCGAGCAGTCTCGTTATTTAATAGCCACACCTCGTATATAGGTAATATTATGTTTTATCTATATTTTCTAATAAATACCTACGTTTTCCCACCTACGATGATGGTGAATAAAAATATTACCATAATATTTTTGAAAATTTATTATAGCTGTCATACGTAAATTATGAATGCATACAATATATTCTTAGATTTTAATTATGTAAGTTATAACAAATCGTAAATTGTTTGTAAATACACACTATTATATTATTAAATGGGTAGGTAGGTATAGTCAATATGTTAAAGTCGGCAAATCTTTACGAGGAAATGTTTAAATACGTCTAGTTAGATCATTCGTTTCCGTATATTATACTACGCTCGTCGGTTTTGACGTTTAATTGTGTATGTTTCTATAATTACTAAAGGACTTTGAAGTTCGTGTATAGATTAAATAAATATACCATCTCATAAATATGTATACGAATATTTTGCTCCAAAAACGCATAATTTTAAAAAGATTAAATATTATATAAACAAAAGTTAAAATATGATGAAAAATGTATTACCCGTAACGGCTGGAATTTAAGGTTTCATTCATTTCATTATGAGTCGTATTGGTAGGTGTAACACACGTACAGTGTGCACACACACACGCGTACTCATACATATACACACGCATAGGCGTTTTAATCATTTTAAAATTAATTATAATTAATATTATATTGGCATCGTCTTAGTGTTATTATCGCTCATATTATTGAGATAACTCATAAATTTATAACATACTTGGACTATGCAATAAAAAAAATTAAATTTAAGTTTGGAACGTGCGCGCGTTTTACCTTTTCTATGTGAGCGCACTCGAAACATTATGCTGCAGGTAACATTTTTTACACACACTCGGAGGTCGTTACAGTTTGAGTTTGTCGACTCAAAATGGAACATCACGTTTGGATGGGTATGGCTGGTTACCACCGAAAATTTAACTTTTTTTTTTCTACCAATTCACTTTTCCGCCAAATCATAAAATTGGTCGATTTCCTTTTCCGCCAGAATCAATCATTCAATTTTATTTATTACAATTATTAGTTGGACAAATAAATAAATCTAGAAAGCTTTTTTTATATAATGTATGTTACAAATTTTGTTTATTATATATTGAATACAAGGTAAAAATAATTGTTAATACTCAAACGATTGTTCTTACCACAATTTTTTGCACAAACAATATCAAAAAGACGGACATACTTCGCATGATGGGTGCAGCCACTGTTGCTGGTGAGTAATTGTAAGTATAGGATATAGAAGGAAAATTAGTTTGTATCTGCAGCGATACACCATTGCTAACGAAAAAACGATTCTGACGGAGTTTAGTTGATACTGATGTTATGACAACAATATGTGTGTCATATTATGGTAAAATAATTAATTAGACCTTATATATTTTCTTTAATAATATTTGTTTCAAATCGTATTGATTTTCCCATTTTTTCTACGTTTTTCTCGGTTTTCTCATGTTTTTTCCCGATTTTTCACATTTGCTGGGAAAATTCTTGGGAAAATTAAAAAATTATCTGCTTGAAGTATTTTCCCAGTTAGATTAACTTTCAGAAAACGTGCCATCATTATAAATTGAAGCAAAATTGATAGTAGAAAATGGTAGAAAATGGTTTTCACTGGAAAAAAATAAAAGGCGTTAATATGTTTTAACAAATACCTACATTTCGTACATTTTCCCGTTTATTGAGAAAACTCCAGACTAAATCAAATGATGACCTCGCTAAAGTACCTCCGTAGTCCAATTTTCTTCAAAAAAAGTGCCACACTTAAAAATTAGAGCAAGTTTTCTGGCAGAAAAGTTTGCACTTTTAGTTTTCGATTAAAATAGCCCGAGCAAGCGATAGCTGGGTCCTTAGGTAGACCTAAAATGCATTTGTTTTTTCCCTGTTTAGGTTAAAAGGAAAAAATAAATGCAAACAATTTTTTTCGAAACACGAGTTTGAAACTTTGAACTCGCGAACTCTAGGATGGCTAGATACGATAGATAGATATGTATGATCATTAGACTACGATAAATATACTCGAAAGAAGACAATATAGAGTTATTTTACATAAGATAATATGTTTCGTGGACATTTTGAAATTTGATTGAAAATAATAATAGTATAGGTAAGTTATGATACGATCGTTCATTATTTTTCGAATATTTGACAAAATTATTTTTTGGCTAAAACGGGTACCATCTAGATTTTAGAGTCTAGACAATATTTTTTTTCAGAAAAGGTGAATATTAATGGAAGATTTCTGGTAGACATTTTTGTCACATTATATATATATATATATATAAAAGAAAAAAACATCATTGTAAAACCAATATAAATTCTTCGCTGCACTCAGAATCTAAAAATGACCCCAACAACACGTCCAATAGTATGTTTATTGTATAATATTATACTATTGGCTCGAATATTATAAAGTTAATGTACAATAATAATATTATTAATACTTTTGTCGGTCAAATTGAAATTCCCTGGTAACGAGGTTTTTAAACAATACAGTAATAATTTAATAGTTATTCGTAATTTTACAAGCGATATTCATAGTGACCAAACATTTTATTTAGACACTTTGAACACTTTTTGGAAAAAATAAAAACAAACCAATTTTTATTTAAACTAACTTTTTAAAAAAAAATACTAACCGAAACACAATAATGCTAAGCAATCGATTCGCTTTTCTCAGAAGACGGATGTTGCAGGCAGTCACCATGAAAAACGTTGTTAAAAACCTCAGCACCCCGAAGAAACCACCCACGTCTAGCACGTGCATGAAAATACCCGTGGACTCTGCGAAGAAACCTGTGGACACTTACATAAAGAAACCTGAGGCCACGAACAACACCAAGCCTACAAACAGTCCTTGTTTTCCAACGAAAAAACCATCCGGATGTAACCCGAAAAAATGATTCTGAGATTAATGAGAGTATCAATGAAATTTTATGTTAAATACCTAAATATGAAAATTGTTGCTCGTCGTTTTTATTTATAGTATTATTTTTACAAATATGGGTTTTTTTAATGGATTTCTTTGGTGTTATACCAAAAAATATGCGTACTTTAAGGAGTATAATAAAAAACTATAAAGAAAAATTCAATTTTCGTACAAAAAACCGTACGTGAGTCATCTTTTAGGAATTAAATTTTCAAAAATCTGGCTTTGAGGTGCACACTACACACTAGGGTGCACCAAAAAAACTTTTTTTCGTTAGATTTCTTTGGTCTTTTAGTTTGTTGTATCTGGGAGTATATACAAATTTTTCAAATTTGTTCATATTTTTGGGTGGTATTTAGAGTTTGCGAGCAACCCTTTAATGAAAAAAAATATGTTTTTTTTAGTTTTTAATTTTTTTAAAGCATATATCAACAAGTTTATTTATAAATAAAATTATAAGTATGAATAGACTCACCTATACATACCTATATATGTATATATATTTTTCTTTTTGGTGACAAATTCTCAGACGTTAGAAACCGATATTTTCAATAGTTATTAAAAACCCACTCTTAATACTAATCTTGAATATTTTTTTAAGAGCTTAAACTAAATACTTGCCAAATTATTCTAAATTTGAAGAGGAAAAAATGTTTTATATGGTTGAGAAAAAAAACTTAGATTAATTAAAAATAATACATTTATTTATTGATTTATTCATTTGCGACTACAGTATACAGTCTAGGGATACAGGTCCTCTCTCAGAGCCAAAAAAAAAGTAATAAATACTTATGGAAATTACACAAATTCTTCGTTATGACCATTTTTTTTTTGATATGACTGTTAATAATATCTACTGGCAAGTACAATGGTGCTTATTGTATTCAATTACAAAAATTTGAGAAAAACTATGTTCCTTTTCGTGGTGGTGGCACCATGTAAGTACATAAGCTTATTCCTAGAACAGTATTTGATTATCTTACTGAACTCAGTACTGGAATAAATATTAAATTGTTCCAGATATTTAGTTGGGATAAATTGGATTGTAATAATTATCATATCACTGAACAAGATGAAGCAATTTCAGCTCTTGTTCTACTAGTAAGAAATAATTTAATTATTTTTATCACACAGTTATCAATTATCATCATTCCAATCACGTAGTAACTATGAAGAGTTGTTATTCTTAGCGTTGGTATTTCTGGGCGTGAGAAATGAAAGAAAAATAACAATTTATTCTCCTGGAGCTTATCATAAGGCAAAATTGATATACTGTATGAAAATATATATTTTCAAAGACCAACTTCAACTCAAAATGAATTTAATAGATTCCGACAGTTTAATGTTTTTATTGTTCGGGTTTACCTGTGAAATCGGTATACGTGTCAAACCTCACAGAGCAAGATAAGACATGCTCAACGATTTAATGCTATATAATACCTAGTATTAATATAAAATTGGAGAAGTAGTATTAAAACAATTTTCAGGAAAGTTATGGTATTTAAGTAAATGTGGTTATTAGGATTATCAT